CACACACACACACACACACACACACACACACACACGAGCCTCGCACAGTTGCTCACTGTCCACATGGTAGCTCAGAGTGATTCAGCGAAGGTCCTAGGACACCCAGGAGGCAGAGCAAAGATTGAGCCAGCAAAGGTCCCTTTAGCTCGACAGCCTGTGCTTCTTGGTGCCCAGGGCCACACTGGGAAAACCCCAAGCAGCACAGCCAGGTGCAGCTCCCGGAGGAAAATGCAGACTGACCCTACCCTTCAGCCGGCACCAGTACCTTCCTTGAACTTGGAAGCTTAAAGGCCAGCCAATGAACTGGCCATCAGAGAGCCCAGTGGGCACGTGCTCTGACAACCTCAACGCAAGACCCAGCTGGCAGCTGTTGACCCCAACTCGTGGCTGCCTGTGTATCCGAGCAGGGTTTTCAGTGGCTGTGGTCCTTTGGGAAGGACATCACCAAGTCTTTCTCTGAGTAGATTCAAGCCAGACTTCTCCGACTGCCTTGAGTGGAGTCTAACTCACAGCGACCCTATAAGACAGAGGTAGAACTGTCCCGGTGGGTTTCTGAGACTAAGGATTTATAGGAGTCAAAAAGTTGCCTCTTTCTCCCATGGAGTGGCCGGTGGACTTCCATTGCAGCCCAATGAGTAAACCCCCTATGCCAGTGGGACCTCTAACCAGGAACTCCTTAAAGCCTATGAGGTGGCGGGACCAACATCAACTGGAGATTTCGGGCTGAGGTGATTGGGCAGTGGCGGGACTTACTCAGCTGGTGCATCACTGCAGGCTCTCCGGGCGGGGCCGATGGCCAAGGGCTGGATTACTACTTGGGAGATTAGTGGTACAAACTCACCCAGGGATGCCTCAGAAGAAAGGCCTGGTGATCTGCTTCCCAAAAGTCACAGCCTTGGAAACCCTATGGAGCTGTGCACACATGGGGTCTCTGAGCCAAATCCACGTGCAAAATGAGCAACAACTAGGAATCTGTGTGCACCAGCTGTTCTTCATCGTCCTTTGATTCAAAGTCAAGTTCCCATTTCTACACACTGTGACGCCAGGGTATTTAGTCCTGTCTCAAGCCTGCCTCCACTCCAGGCAGGACAGCTGCTTCTGGGGGCCTGGGCTAGCCGGCACCCCCTCTAACAGAAGCCCTTGGGGGGCCCAGTCGAGGACCCTGGGCAGCCTTCTAGACCCCTGCTCTGACTTCTGTGGGGCTGGGAGGTAGTGCATCCTGCTCTTGGGAGAGGCCAACCCTGCTGCTGGACCACCAACACACCTCCAGTCAATCTCTTGACTTTCGCTCTGGAATTTCAGGGTGCCGGCCAAGGAGAAGGCTGAAGAGCAGGCATTCTTGATTACAGAGGGTTCTTCCCCAATCCGGCCTCAGTTTCCCCAAGAGAACAGTGCAGGGGTTGCTCGGTGTGGCCCCTGTGCTCGAGTCTGACCTTTTGTCTAAGGGCTCCTGTAGGACTAGCACAAAGGGAGCAGGAGATGAGACCACAGCTTCCCTGCCGTCTGCACATGAAGAACAGCCCCAGTGCGGTGGGAGGCCCAAGGGGTTGGCTGAGGATGGGCTCAGTGGCCTCAATAAGGACCCCCAGAAACCCCAAACCCATCTGCAGAAGGCATCAGACCTTTGCCAGGAACCCCAAGAAATGTCTATGATCCCAGCACCCCTGCCAGGGAGCCCTACCAATGTCTCCAGGTGTGTGTGTGTGTATTATTTGGGGGAGATGACTTAGTCATCCGCCCACTGCTGGAATGCCTGCTGGCCACAGGTGGTGCTGCCAGCTGGTGCTGTGGTCCAGGTGGACTGATGCCCTTCATGGTGGGGAGATGCCTGACCCAGTGAGTGGGGCCGGGTATGCAGGCAGCACTGATTCATGGCCTTGGAGAACACATACCTCCGGGATACCTCAGGGATATAGCAGGTTTAGGGCCAGACCACTAAGGGAATGGTGCAGTAAGGCTTCTACATGCATCAAGTTATGCTTATATTCTAGTCTATTCAAGAAGCCCTGGTGGTGTAGTGGGTTACATGTTGGACTGCTAACTGCAAAGTCAGTGGTTCCAACCCATCAGCCACTCCTCAGGAAAAAGATGAGGCTGTCTGCTTCTGTAAATATTTACAGTCTCAGAAACTCTAGGAACAAACCCTATAAGACAAAGGGGTTGCTATGAGACAGAATTGTTTCAATAGCAGTGTTTTCATCTGTATCTGTATCAAGGAGGAGTGCTGGTGCCCTGTGGGTTAGGCATTGGGCTGCTGATCTCCAGGACCGGTTCAGACCTACGAGATGCTCTGCAGCAGGCAGGAGCCCTCAGCTCCAGGAAAGATGTTGAGTTTCAGAAACTACAAGATGGCTGAGTGGGAATCAACCTGATGGCTGTGGATTTGAGTTTGGGGTTTGTAAGTCTAGTCAGTGTGCAAGAGCATTATGAAACATTTTGAGACGTGAGGATGACAAAAGGTAACAGACATGGATACATCCTGTGGGAAAAACATGCCATGGAGGGTGGCCACAAGGTTTCATTTGTAACAAGACCACAGTATCTTTGAAGTGCAGTCAACCCGACCAGCCTGTACCTGAGGAGGAGTCTGCAGAGCTGGCTGGAAGAAGCTGTGGTGGACCAGCCAGCTGGCTGGGGGGCATGCAGGGACTTCCTGCGACCTCTGGAATCTAGCTGCATCTGCCTTGCACCTGGGTAGTCGCACAGATAAGGGGCTCCAGCCAGGACTCTTGCAGTGAGTAAAAGGGCTTTGCCTTCATAATTACAGCTCCTCCCAACAAGGGATGAATAAACAAGGAGTCAGTTAGCACACCCAAGGACGGGCAGTGGGGAGGTAAGTACAGCATACATACATCTGGAGCCATGGAACTGTTTCTGCACTCAAAAATGAACACGTGTTCTTTTTTAAAAATAATTTTATTAGGGGCTCTTACAACTCTTGTTACAATCCATACATCAGTTGTATATGACATATTAGTACATATATTCCATCGTTCTTTTCTAGACATTTACTTTCCATTGAGCCCTTGGGATCAGCTCTTTCCCCTCCCTCCTCCACCCCCTACCCCCACCCCTCGTAGCCCCTTGATAGATCGTAGCTTGTGATCATGTGTTCCTATATCGGAAGAGAACGTCACTTGGAGAGGACTGTCAGGACTACCTGTTGTACACAGGGTCACCATGAGTCAGAACCGACTGGATGGCACCTAACAGCATCGAGGTGGAAGCTGGAGGTAGGAAGGGAAGCCAGAGGAGCTTCTGGACTTCATAATATGCAAAATGACATTTTGGAAGACTGCTGGGTAGAAATCAGGGGCACAGGCAGGGGACCAGGTGCTCGCTGCCTCCAGCCTGGAGTTTCTGAGAAGTCCTCGAGGCACTAGAATCTAGGACCTGAGACCTGGGAGAGCTCCGTGACTTGTCTTGGACTTCCTGTGCGTGGCAGAATAGCAGCCCTGCCACACCCTGGCCATGGGCTCAGCTCTTTGGTGGACAGTGATGTTCAGAACCTTGGTGTCACTCAGGTTCAAAGTGGCCCAGGGGACCACAGAGACCAGACAGCGCCCTGGGAGTGGGTACGAAAAAGAAGACTATGTGCAGCCAGCTGCCACCATGGCCCCAGGATGCAGCCAGCTGTGATTCATCAGGACAAGTGTGCACTGCTTTCTGGGGTCCCTGCCCTCCCCAAGTATGTCTGCTGAGCACCTCCCTCCCCTCCTGCCTGGGGCTGCGGGTTAGCATCTGCTTCCCGGGCCTGCAGAGAGAAACATTGCTGGCTGGCCAGTAAGCTGCAAGCTCCTGGGTCTGAACAGCTAGCACAGGGCGTGTCCTTTGGTGCTGGGCCCGCCTACCCTCGTCCAAGACGGTTTCCAAGGTGGTGGGTGTTGCGTGGGAGCCTGCGGCTGTGGGCGTGTAGCCGCTTCCCATTCTCACCTGGCAGCCCCAGCGGGCGTGGCCCCAGCCTGGGGGAGAACTTCCCTTCCAAAGTTAGATAACAGCCTGTGCAGGGCGGCCGATTGGCGCGATGGCTGCACGTGCTGCGGCTGGCCCGCCCGCCAGGCAGCGGGAAAGGAAGGGAAGGCCAGGCCTGGCTGCAGCACAGCTGGCAGGTGGCCGAGCAGGGGATGGCCAGGGCGGCGTGGCCGCGCTGCCCATTGGCTGCCTCAGGCTCCCGTCCCGCCTGCCCAAGCCAGCGGCTCCCTGCCAGCCACCGCCTTCCTACTGCTTTCGCGGACCATGTCGGGCTGCAGCCGGATCGGAGGGGCCCCAGCCATGGACATGCCGGAGGTCCTTAAGTCCCTGCTGGAGCACTCCCTGCCCTGGCCGGAGAAGAGGGCAGGTAGGTGCAGGGCTGCAGAAATGGGGTGGCGGGGCAGGGGAGGGAGGGCCGGTTCCTAGCAGGGGTCTGCCCTTAGCTTGTCCCTGAGTGCAGATAGGGCCCAGTCCGGGAGGTGCATGGGTGCTACCTCAATTTCAGGAACTGCCCAGAGACCACCAGCTGCTGGGCACGTGTCAGGGAGTGGCTGCTGACAGGTGCTGCGAGCACATGGACAGACAAGGGTGGCTGCTGGAGGGACACTGGTTGCTTATAAGGTTCCCTGCCTGCATGTTGGGGTGCCCAGGGGAGAGGGAGGCTGAGGGTGGGCTGCTGGACCCTGTGTCTGGAGAAGAGGTGGCCCTGGGCACCACCTGGGCTCCAGACTCCTGCTCCCGGGGGCTGAACTCCGGCTGGGACAAAAGCTGTTATGTAACGGGACCGTGGAGAGCCCCACGTTCCTTGGATACCACAGGCAAACATGGTGCAGGAGAGACAGGAGGGTGTGAACCAGGCAGCGCTGCCACCACTCCAGGTGCCCCCAGTCCTGCCCGGGGGCCTCAAAGTCAGGGTCAGCTCAGAGAGAGCTGGGGTCTGGCCTACCCAGGCTATTGTTCCCAACACATCCCTCCAAATCTCTTGCCCCGAGACACCAGGAGTCCACCCCAGGCCTTTACTGCTCCTCTGTCCTCTGTGTCCTTTAAGGAAACCTTTCTTGGGCCTCTCCTGTATCCTGCTGAGCTGGGGCCCAATAGAGGCCATCACTAGTTGGCCCTAATTGTCCCTGTGGGACTTCCTGTCAACCCACCCCCCCAAACACACAGCCACTGGTGCCCTCCTCTTGCTCACGGGCAGTGGGACTGACGGTGTTCCCTCAGGAGAAGGGGCAGCTGACTCTGGTCACCAGCAGGCACTGTGCCCCTGGGGAAGGGGCACTCCCAGAACTAGGGGCAGGATCCCATCCCCAGGGGCTCTTGTGTAGCTTTGGGTCCAGTGTGCTGGGGTTTCGAATGCTGGGGTGGCCCAGGCCACTCTGTCAGGTGGGCCTCCTGGACATGCTCCTAGGTCCTGCTAGCATGTAGGGCTCAGAGGACCTTCTGCAGTTCGCCTGACAGGTGTGCCCTAACTTCAGTGGCATCTCTGGAATGCTTTCCAAAGCTCCAGGCAGAGGGCTGTGGTCCATCCAGGTAGGAAACTTAGCCCCAGGCCTCACCCAGGCTGTCCTGGATCTTGGGGGGAGGGGGGACATACATAGGTTGCAGCTGGTGGCCTGCAGCTCAGCAGGGTCAGCTGCAAAGGGAAGGTCTCTTAGGGGCAGCTCTGGCTTTTGAAACAGTGGCAGCTGCTATCCACTAGCATGCCTGCTGGTTGGCAGAGCCCTGCACTGGCACTCCCCTCCACCAGCTGCATTGGGCAGCCCCGGGCCAGGCCCTGCAGTGACACACTCAGGGTCTGGGGCAGACTTTGCTATATGCCCTGGTTGGCTCTAGCAGAGGATTATGGTCAGGTACTGCTGGGCGCTAATGGGGCATGCACAGCGTGGGGCCAGCTTCAAAGCTACCTCCTACCACTTGTGGGTGTGGCAGTCCCAATAGTCAGAAGCATGAAGCCCCATGCAGAGAGCTCTGTGACCAACTACGGGGACATCAGGGCACCCCATGAAGACCCAGTTCTAACTCTTCCCCCCTTGCCACTGCCACTTTACAAAGCCCCCAGGTTCTCCAAATGGTTTATAGAAATAAAAGCATCTACTTACAAAGCAACACATCCTCGTGTAAAAGGAACACACGGTGTACACAGGACACTGCCTACCCCGGAGCAGTCACACAGTGAGCATCCATATCTCCATGACCCTGCTGCCTGGCTCTGGCCCCGATTGGCAGCACCCCACTGGGTGTGAAGGGAGTCTGAGGGCCTGTTCACAAACCTGCTGCTTTCTCTTCAGGCCAAGTACCTGGCCTGCCTTGTCTGCGGTGTGTGGGAACGTCCCGAAGAAGTCGTGCGGACCATGGGAAATTCGGCCCCTCGCCCCCACAGCAGCCTCAGGCTCCCTCTCATAGTTCAGGCTGCTCCCAAGTTTCCACCTCAGGGGTCCCTCTCTCTTGCACCCTCCACCTGACTAGTCCTTGAGACCTCTGCCTCTTTCTGGTCCCTGGAGAAGATGCTTGACTGCACTGGGGGCCTGCGGAGCCTCCTCTGGCGGAACCCCTCGGGAGGGTCCACCTATTGGACCAGCTTCCCTAAGGGCAGAGAAACCCATGTGCAGCCAAAGATAGGCCTGCACCCCAGGCTCTAACTCAGTTTCCCCGCTGTGTCTCGGGCATGTTCCCTGAGAGCTTTTGTCCCTGGCTCTGCCCAGCCTCTCCCCACAGATCCTCTGCCAGGAGCTGGTTCCGTCCCCAGTCACTCAGTCTAGCCCTTTCCTTGCTACCTTCTTCTCCAGCTTCTGGAAAGACTCTGATCCTCTAACGGGGCCTTGGCTGGGCTCCGAGGATGCCCCCCCTCCATCTTTCTGCCAGCTGTGCACTCAGGTCTCCGCTTCAGGGGGCTGTGTGCCATGAGAACACAAGGCTTTCATCTTGAGCTGGGCAGGCAGGGTCCTCGCTGGGTGTGCAGTACAGGGCTTATGCATGGAGCCCAGGAGGAACCCCTGGGCCACTCAGCTTTGCTACATCTTCCCGCTCCCGCCCTGGGCCATGAACAGGGAACCAAGGATACCTGCTTCCCAGGTATGTTGCTGGGATCAGTCTCTGTCCCCCGTGAAAGGGTTTGAGCACTGTGAAATGCCACTCTGTTTTCTCCATGCATCCCAAAGAGCCCCTTCTACCCACATCACATTTAAACATGGGCCCCAACCCCTTCCTCCACTTTCTCGCCTGTGGATGTTCTCACTGAAATGGCTAGGATGTTGCAAGTTGGTGTATGCATGCGTGTGTGAGTGCATACATCACATATATGCATACACATGCACACTGTCTCCTTGATAATGCATGCTGAGACTATTAGGGGCATGCTGCTACAGGCCCTATGCCAAATGGGTTGGCCTAGACGAGGCAGGCAGAGTAGGGCGACTCGGGCAGAGGCACGGGTGTAGAGACAGGGCTTGGGCAAAATGGACACAGAAGGTGGATTTGGGCCTGCAGGGCTATTCCAGTGTGGCCTTCTCAAAAGTTCACATGACGGCCTCCCCTCCCAGCCTGGGGCCAGAGCGAAACTGGGAAACCACTAAGTCTCCTTCTGGGGAGGAGGGTGGGTGCATCCGTGTGCTGCCCATGTGAGCAAATGTAATCATCTTCCAAAACCTTCTAAGGCAGCTGCCACACGGTGGCTTCTATCTGACCACGATCACGTGTGTTGGAGGGGACTGTGCTCCGTACAGTTAGTTCTCAGGAGCCAAGGTTTTGCAGAAATCACTTCCCAGGCCTTTCTTCCAAGTCACCTGCGGGCAGATGAAAACCTCTCCCCTTTCAGGAATGGAGTGTTTCTTCCTTTTGCCAGGGAGCTAATCCTCACCGCAATCTTCTCCACCCTGGACTACCCCCTGCCTCTGTGCTGAGACACCACATGTTGTACCCAGAGAGCCCGGTCATCCTCAAGGCCAGCGAGTGGCTCCAGCCTCTCCTTCCTTAAGCAGCCTTAAGCCTTCTTGGTACTCTCCCCCACCACCACTCAGAGACATGCAAGAAACTCCCTCTCACCGAGCAGCAGACATTGCTGACAGATCCTGCGGGTTTTCCAGGTGGCTTGCGTTAGATGTCAATGATTGAAACCTTCAGTTACCCTCAGGGAGAAAGAGGAGGCTCTATTCGACTCTGCCCTAACTTTATAGGTTCACTGTGAGTTGGAATCCACTTGAAGGCAGTGAGTTGTTGGGGGTTTGCATTTGTAACAGACCTGACCCAGGGGCGAGGCCCTCCAGGAGTGCGGCCTGAGTCCAACAGCACAGTGCCTCCGAGAACTGTGAGAACTGTGCTCCGGGCTCTGACCTCGGCATCTGCAGGGCTTTGCGAGGAGGCTTTTGCAAGGCGAGGGACTGGCTGCTCTGCTGTCAAGGGTACTGACATTCAGAGGCGGGAAGGCCACCGTTATCAAGAGCTTTGAACCTCGCCTCTCACCTCCACACAGGCTTCCCCAGGGACTTGTTGAGTCCATGTCCCAGGACAGATCCTTTTCAGTCACCCCCTTGTTCCATATTGACTGAGCGGTCCCTGCTCGCCTGGCCTTCGTGGTCTAGAGGGGACAGGCACAGGGCCGTCCGTCAGAAGGGTCAGGCCGGCCTCTCTGAAGGTGTGACATCGGAGGCCTGGACATTGGGAGCTAGTTACATCAGGAGCTTGCAGGCTGAGGGAACTGCACCTGCAAAGCCTCCCTCTTGGGGCAGGTAGGACTTAATGTGTCTGAGGAATAAAAGACCATTGTGAAAACCAAACAAAACAGCCACTGTGCTGCTGAAAGGGAAGAGGGAAAGAGAAGGAAGAGGTGAGGTTGGAGGGACTGGCAGGGTGAGAGTGAGCGAGCGAGTCTGCAGGGCCTTGAAGGCCACTTAGCCTGTGCCCCTGGTCCTGGGGAAGCAGCAGGTGAGAGGAGGGGTGCAGTATCTACCCCCAAACCACCTGAGATGGACTAACAATGAGTTTACTTTAATTGATCACTTACCATGTGCCAACTACTATTCTCAGCATGGGCCCGAATTGGTTCCTTGCCTTCTGACACCGGTTCCGAGAAGACCATAGTAGTAGAACTCAGACCTCCACAGTCCAGCTCCAGAGCCCCGCTTCTGCTGGGAGGTGGCAAAGGCCAGAGGTGAGGTGGGTGCTCACAGACAACCACCCCACCCCCACTCCTACACACACCCGTAACCTGAGCCCTAGGAGTGGAACAAATGCAAAGCCAACAGGAAACTAGTCCTCCTGTGAGTACCCGTGGGCTGGGCAAGAGGCAGTAAGGAGCCTCCGCCCGCCACTTCTGCCTGGAACACCGTGAGCCCAGGCTCAGACCGCAGAGCCCAGAACTATGTGGCCACA